AAAAAAAAAAAAAAAAAAAAAAAAAAAAAAAAAAAAAAAAAAAAAAAAAAAACTACATTTAAATATTCAATAAAATAATAAAAACAAAATAATAACAAAAAAAAAAGGAGAATCATTAAAAAAATATTTATACATATATATATAAATTTAATTGATTTTATAAATTAAGCATTAATGAACAAATCCAATCAAAAATCATATATATATTTATATTTTAAATTATCATATATTTTTATATTTTTGGTGCAAAAATTTTTAATATAAAATTAAACTAAAAATTCGTTTACTTTACGTTATAGTTACAACAAAAATAAGATAAAAAAAATATTAATTTCATATGCAAATTTTGAACACTTATTAATTTGTATAGAAAGGGTATCAGCTCTTCGAGGAACTGCAATTGATTCTCTATAAACTACATATTTGAGGCTTTTCTCTTTCGTTTGATGTATTTCTGCCAATGGCATTTAATATATAAAATAACTAAACTTAACTAAATATCTCATAAAGTAAGGCAAATTCGCACGTTATGATAAAAAAAAAAACAGCTAAATAACCTTGAAACGGTTTAGAAATGCGATTTAAATGAATTATATGCGACTATGTAAATTTTGAATAATAAATCAAGTGGACAATCAACTGAAATTAAGATAAACGGCATTTAAAACGAGTGTAGATGGAAAATTTATCAGAAAACGAGAAAATCTATAAATATTTACAGTGGATATGAATTTCTTGATTGCTCAGAAATAATTTATGAAATTAATTGCGCCGGAGGCCAGTTGCTAGGCCAGCTACGAAAGTGGCCCACAAATGATATCACGTATTTTGACGAATATGTTAAAACGGAAGATTTTAAAACTGGGACTGGGCCGCGATTGGTAAGCGAAGCACAGGAAGAAAACTCGCGCACATGTTTCAACATCATCGAGCTGCGTAATGCATAACAAAATTTGTATAAAACCAAACAAGAAAGACAAAAATTAATGGAAAGCCCAATCGCAACACGTTTTGGGGAACCGTTAAGAATCACCTACGTACGCACCATGACCGCACGCTATGAACAGCTCACTCTGGCCAACACAACAAATATAAGTGTGTGTGTGTGTGTGCGGGTGTCAATGGAAGGGCTTGAGATTTAATGGGCAGTTTATTTATTTATTTTTTTTTTTTTTTAGTTTGTATTTTTTTTTTTTTGTGGTGAGAATCCCGTGCAAGCACCACTCCTAGCAAACAACTTTTATTTTCACATATATCTGTTAGAAACCACGTACAAATGTGTACGTGTGTTGTCATGCGTTTTGATATTTTAAACAAATATTTAAAACAAATTACCAAAGCGCAAAAGAAGCACGCAAATGTATATAAAAAGCTTAGAGAGGCAAACCAGCCAAGCAATGTACAGTGGATGCCATACAAGAGGCTAAGTAGAAAGATAGAGAGAGAGAGAATGTTTATTAAAGTCGAAGGAACTCTAAATGAATACATAAATTAAATTACAAAACCAATATACCCTGATTTCCCATTTTCAATAGGTTTAGGGTATAAAAAATAAATATAAAAATTAAATTTGAGTTCAAATTAAGGCTTAATATCAATTACTTCAATTTATACTGCATTATATATATATTTATATATTTTCGAATACTTTCTTACTGAAAGAGCACTAAATGACTTTCGGAACATTTTTGTAAAGGCAAAAAACAAAACAAACTTTGACCAGCTACGTATTGAGTTTGAACTCAGTTCTATTAGATATACATATTCTATTAGGAATTCATAACAGATAATGTCGTATATACATAGCCAATAGCAAGTTTTTTTGCAAGTAGAACCTGTCTTCAATCCCTTTTATTAGCCTTAGTGCAACGAGCTAATTTTGCCGACAGAATCTGAGAATTTAATTGGCTTCTACTTTGAGGCAAAATATACATACCTAATTGCATCAAAGATTTGCTTGGTTGTGCCCACTGTGCACTTGGCATTGCTTTGATTTATTTACGAGCTGAAAGTTGGTAGTCACTATGGTGTTGGATTTTAGTTAGTATCAGTGCTGCTACCAATGCATGCATACATACATACAAGCAAACATATACACATAGTTTGAATGTGGTTTCTGTGGCTAATATGTGCACACACAGATACGCACGTCGGTTCGGGTTGGAAATTCGAAAAAAGATAGAAACTTTTTGGCTAGCCAGTCGACTGTGGACATGGGACAGCTGTGCGTGCGGCGCTTTGAGAGTAGTCAGAGATGCGGTGCGGTGGGGTGGGCGGGAGGAAGGGGTAACGGCAACAGCTAACGGCTGTGAACCGACAGCGTTGGCGACTGTTGCGCATAAATTGTGCAAACAAACTGAGAAACCGAAATGGTAGTGGCCCAAAGATACAGCAAAGCCAAACAGGCAAATGTAAAATGCAACACATCGTATCCATGAGATACAAATAAGCAATCAGATTCAAGCAGGCAGCCAACTGGCCAAAAAACACACACTTACTCAATAAAACGCCACTGCCATGCGTATGCCAGACGTTTCGATTCGCGAACGCTGCTTAGCTCTCTTAATCAGGCTGGAACCTGTCGGCCGACGCGCCTCTCTGTCAGCCAGTCGGCCAGTCAGTGAGTCGGCCCGGTCAGTCAGGTGTTTGGCTGTCGGTTTGGCCACATTTCGTGGCTGCAAAATGATGTCAAGCCAGCTGTTTGGCCATCCAAATGGACAGTGCAATTGGCTCGCCGCACGATTGAAGCTCAGAAATTGTCTTGGTAGCTGTTCGGTCGCGGTATTTATTGTGGTGCAATCGACTTGATCTAATGCCACGTAATCAACAGCCGGCAGCCAGGCAGCCAGGCAGCCAAGCAGGCAGGCAATCATACCAACTGCGCTCGTAAATAATGCGCAATGAAAACTTTTGTTTGCGGAAGCAGCCGTTCAATGGCAGGTTCCAGTGCAATTTTCAGGTTCGGCACTAAGCGGACCAAACCGGCTTCATCGATCGTTTCATACGTGCAATTAGCGTAGGACAATACACTTGAGTCAATGCTATTCAAGCCGAATTCGAAAAAAATACACTCATATTAAATTTCCATTATTGAAATCATTTCGTTTATCAGCGGATCCATGGCTCTGTTTTTATGTCGTTGACACAAGCCAAAAGAAACAAGTTTAAGTCTGTAAATATTAATGACGGCCGAGCAGATACCATCAATATTTTGCAAATTTCATTCAGTGGCTAAATATCTACCCTAGTATTACTCAGAAATCAATTTCAATAAGACTTTAAACTTTACGTGTTCCAAGGTCTTAGACTTTATATTATACATTATACTGATATGTATTTTAGACTAACTGAAACCAGATTAGTTTTATCGTTTGGTATTTTAGCACTATCCAAGAGAAATTTCTGTATTAAAAGAGCAACTTTCTGAACAACAACTTAACAACTTCATTATATGAATAGTGCCTTCTCTCTCACTCAACCTAAGTTTTTTGTTCAGCCTTTTCGATACATTGCAAATTCAAAAGATTATATATTCTTGTAGGAAATATCATATATTCAAATATATATCATAGCTTTAGCTCTTAAGCCTTATTAATATATACTTTATTAAAATTTTTCCTATTTTCTAATGGTTTAATTTTCCAAATATTCTTGAGATGCACACACATTTAAACAAGTCTAGTATACCCTCTCCACAAATTCCCCATATTGCCTGGGTATAAAAAACCTACAAAAATTGGCGACATCGTGAAAAAAGAAATACATACATATGTACATATATGTATGTGTGCATGTGTATGGCGTATGTGTCAGTGTATGTAAATGGCAACTGCATAAATGCATCCTGAATCGAATTTAATTGTATTTGTTAGTCCATATGCGAGTGCACACTCGTATCTTTATCTGTGGCCGTATCTATAGCTGTATCAGTAACTGTAATTGTAGCTGTGACTACGCTCGACTATATGTATCAGCACGCTTGTCCATCTATCTGTCACGCTGGTTGGTATTTGCATCCGAAGCTGCGGCTTTCGGGTTTAATTGGCTGCGGAAATATTCCATGTGATTACTTAATGAGATCCAACTCAGTTTTATTACCCGCGGACTCAACACGGCTCTCAGCTAAAGTGCATAAAAGTTAAAAGGTTAACAAATTAAACACGCAACAGCGACGCTGACTGCAGAAACAACAACAACAACAACTGCATCTAGGTACAAATATGTATTCCCTGGGGTAGGCGCGGGCGTGTGCATGTAGTTTATTATTCAATTATGCATTCATTAAGGTACAGAATTATTAATTCAATAAAAGTAACAACATTATTGCCTCAATTTGATTTTCTGTTCACTTAAATTACGTCATTTTTTTTTGCGCGTGTGTTAATTTCACTATTCACTACACGGCAAATATATTTTAATTGGCCCTAGAGTTGTGTCAAGAGACTAACAACATGGCCCAGTTAATGTGCAGACAATGAAGAAACAATGCCAGATGAACAGAGATTAAAGACAAGAGATATTCTGCTTTAAGTTGCATATTCGGCAGAAAATAGTTTAAACTCATAGAATATTCCTCTATAGGCATAAATTTATAAGCTGCGGCTAAGTATTAAAGCCAATATAGAGTATGATACCCTATAGAACTAAATCTACTTATTTTACTCCTCAAACCTCTCCAGGAATATTTTGTTTTATTACACGTTCGAGCCCATTATATATATAAATATACTCTCTATTCAACATCTATAGAATTATCACAGCTTTGCGCTTAAGAGAAAAATTCAGGCAGAAAATATGAATTTTATTGAAATTTAACTGTGCAAACACCTTGAGCGGATATAAAACAGTCGATTGCACTCGGCTGTGAAGTGGCTTCCATTCTTTATTTAAATTCTCTATATAACTTTGGTAACCACAGCATGAAGTATGTGCGTAAAAAGTAAAGAAGCTTAAAATTAAGTCATATTAATAGGAAGGAAGAGATATGCTTGTGCAGTTGGGCCTTTATATATGTATGATAAAAATTGAATAAACTTTAAAGATGCGTAAAGGCTGAAATATATATAAACAAAAAATGCATTAAGCTTGCAGTAACAGATAAAAAGTCTTGTAGAGCTGATCAATGGCATTAGATGATGCAAAAATAAGCCGTGAATTACTATGGAAAGTCTCATGATGGAGCATGATTCCTTGACGGCGTGTTTACAGCACGTTAGATTTAGTACAGTGCTCTACACGTTTGATGGCCTGTAAATCTGTGTTTTATGTACGCGTTAAGTCAAGGTCTGTGGCAGCTGGCATTAGCCAGCTAGGCTGGATGGTAATGACCCAATTGCTTATGTTGGCAGACAAAACGTGGCGCTGGCCAAAATGTTTATGGCCAAATGAATAATTAAGAAGCTATTACGGGCAGTAAATGCTCGCTGGCTTATTAAATACGGCAGGTAGGTAACCAAAAAAAAAAAACAAAAAAAAAACAAAACAGTTGACAAAGTAAAAGATAAACCAAAATATAAATTTAAATATGAGAGAAACTATCGCAATTGAACGTGCCGCATGGATGGTTGCATTTAACACGTTTAACCTTTCATAGGCCACAGCCAGGGGCATAAATAATTTAATTGTGAGTGCGCTCTTTGGCCAGCAGAATGGCCACAGAGACGGCTGGCCATCGACAGATCTTGTGGCAGAGGCTAGCCCACAGCTTTTCACATTTTGAATGGGCTGCCGTGCTCAAGCTCAAGCTCAGGCATCGCATAAGCACAGTCAAGGTGTTCCGGTGCATTTATTGCAATTAAACACTTGTTAATGCCAAAGCTGTTGGCCACTAAAAACAAAACCACATAGTATAACAAGAAGCTGGCGACGAATACAGATACACATCTATATATATATATATATATATATATGTGTGTGTGTGTGTGTGTGAGTTTGATTGTATTTACAACAAGATTAATACTTGGCATTGTGGCATGAATCAACGTTTCGTTTCGTTTAGAATTCGCTGGCGGCCGTTAGCAGAAGCCCCAAATAAACAGCAATGCGCTAACCTTGTTACTAGCAGCAGCTACTTGCAACTGCAGCAACTGCAGCTAGTGGCGGCTGCTGCGGTTCGAGTGGTTTTCCTTGTATTTGATTTTTCAATTTTAACTGTAGAAATAGGCGGCACGGTCGCACGTACATAATTAATGTGCCAAAGAATTGGCATAGTAAAGTTTTACCAGTTACACACACACACACACACTAATGCATATATGTATGTATCTTTCGGTTTGGCGTGCATGCAAAATCGGCAAATGCCAAATGTTTTGATTGTTGATTTAAACGTATGCGCAATGTTCGCACATTTATCGATTACAAATCAATTTTATACTATTGCACATCTCACGTAGCAGCTGGCTGAGCTGCTTGGTGGCGACCTCGACTTGGACTCTGTTGGCGTTGCCCAAGCAATCGAGATGGTGCCGATGGTGGTGGTGTTGGTGGTGGCGGGGGGGTGGTGAGAGTGCGGACTGGGTGCCTGTTTGCCAACTTTGTGCAACGCATTGCTGCTGCCGGATTACACTATTAACGCCAGTTGCATACAAATTGGCGCATTTCAGCATTTCAGGTGTGTGTTACCTGAGCTAACCGTAAGATACAGATACGCGGCTGCACTCGTTAGCGTTGTTAGTCGGTCGGTGTCGGTGTCAGTGTCGCTGTCGCTGTTTGCCAGTGTATGTGTGTGTGTGTGTGAGTTTTCTGTTACTGTTGCTGAATCTGAATCTGAATCTGCATCTGCGCCTTCATCTGGGGGCATTCTGCGCCCATTTGCTTGCCTTTGGTGTGCGCCTCGAGTCGCAGCTTGCATAAACAACAGCGGCAGCGGCCGCGGCAGCGACTGCAAACGAGCCAAACAAATTGAATGCTGCAAAAAGTGCACAAGGTGCGATATATAAATTACACCTCGATTAAATTGCAATGCAAATTTCAGTTGTTTTCGTTTACGTTTTCGTTTTCGTTTTCCTTTTTCAACTCCGCCATGGACAGTGGCAAACTGGAAATACATGCAATACTTATGCGTGCATGTGCATGTGCATGTGCATGTGCATGCATGTGCTCATCTAAGAAGACTTTTGGCTTCTGCTTCAGTTACAGCTTAATGCTGTCAGACGCAGCTTCCTGCAATCCTCATCAGTATGACTGGCCGGCTACCCATCGAATACAGACGTGACGACAGCATAAGTAAGCAGCGCATTCGCGGGATTTGTCAAATATTTGCGCTACGCTGCGCTCATTCATAAAACCTTTGGCTAAAGCCTTGGCTCCACACTTCCACAGCTCTGACACCAGCCGCAACCTTAGCCTGTCAGTCTATGCTTCTCTTTCTTTCACACACTCTCTCGCACTCTCTCTCTCCCCATCTCGCTCGTTGCTGATGCAGTTTTTTACGCCTTTTGCGAGGAAAAACAAACTTTTTCAGACGTTGGGTAAAGTTCGGCAAGTTTAATGCTGTTTGACTTTGATTCAATATTTGCATCGATTAAGCTTTTCAAGGTTTTTACTTAGCTGAAAAGCAAAATGGCAGGCACACACATACACGCAAACAAACACATATAGCTGGCGATATGTATGTATGTGAGCACTTGATAATTTTACATACGTGCAAAATATAAACATGCTTGAATTAATCTCTAGAGAACGGCAAATGCACAAATATGCATTAAAACATTTTTTTTTTTTTTATCAAGTCTCTTTGACTTCATTCGAAATTTGAGTGCAGCTCAATTTAATGCTGTGTCATTCATATTAGCCATTTAAGTGCAAGAAAATACTCAGAGTTAATCAAATCTATTTTGTTTGAAGAAAATCTGTTGACTAATTTAGTTATTGAACACTGAAGTTATTAAATTGTAAATTGCATAGAAATTACTTTATTTGATTTGGAAATGCAATTAAATTGATGAATTCCTCAGTATTGATTACTTTTGCTAATAAACAAATTGTTAAACAATACGGAAAACCCACAATTTCAAGAAAAATCTATATAATTATCAGAATTCACACATCAAATTGTAATTCAATTAATTATTAAAATACAAAAATGTGTTTGATAATTTTCTTTGATGTGAAATAATAAAATTCCTAAATCATTGGCGATTATATCAATTATATTATAAATTAACTATACGTATTATGCATACATATTTAACACAATTATTTTAATGCTACACATTTTTCCACAAATCTTAATATACGGCAAAGCATTTACATGGAATTTGCCTCGAGCGAAATAGCAACACATTTTAATTATTTTTACTGCACTCTATATATAAATATCAATCAGTATAATAATAATATATAAATGGATATGTAAGAAAACATAACTTTTCATTCTATATTGAGTGCATTCGAAATTTACAATGAACATGATTTTATTTTTAAAGAAAAAATATAAATAAAAATATCAAAATAATGCAAGTCGATAGCAAAATAAATTCACAAACCAACTATAAAACAATGCAATGCAACAAATACTAATATTTTCACAAAAAAATAAATAAACATTGTACAACACGTCGTATGTGTAATATGCTAACAAGCAATATATTTTGTGAATGTTGATTTAACAGAATTATTGATACTTGTTATTGAAATACAATTGAAAGTAGCTTAAATTCAATTTGATTTTTTTTTAGAGCCGCTTTTGAAATCAAAGAACACAGTACACACAAAAAATATATACATGTTTCTGAATTGCCAATGATTTCGTCATGGCAGCGAATTGTGAGCAAATCTGTTTTTTAGTCAATTTCTGATTTACACAGAAACATTGGTCGACAGCATATATATTATTAATATTATTGGGTATTGCAATTGCATTGAAATTAGTTCACTAGGCTTACTCTGTTGTATGAATTCCAGAAATCCAGCTCCACAAATTTGAGCTCTGCGATTGCTCGATAAATTTGAATCTCGCCAAATGAGTGGAAAACTTCCTGTTTGCTGTGTGTGTGTGTGTGTGTGTATCCAAATTGTGCTTGGTGCAATCGGTTGCGCACTTTCGAAATTTTCACGATATTCACGCAGAGCCCCGATATTACACAATTGAGCTGGACTGTGGTAAAAAGAAATCCAAACTCCCGAATTGGCAGCCAACACAACGTCGAAAACGTATTTCAGGAAAATCAACTTGAAACTATTTCTATTTTTTTGTATTTTGTTTTTTTCTGGCTTTTAGTGCGACAGCACAGCACCGAAACCACCGAAACCACCGAGCCAGCGAACCGAGCTTATTTTTCAACGAATTGAACGCGTTTCAGAACTGCGCTGCCAAGCAGACGAAAACCGACTCAGCTCGAGTGCGGCTTGCAAAAACGACAACACCTGAACAGGGGCCCAAACTCAGGCCTGAACGCGACTTGGTAACAATTGACGCTGCCGCTGCCGCTGCCGTTGCCGTTGCCGCTGCTGCTGCTGCGATTGCCTATGACGTGTGGCGCCGACTGCTGCGACAGTGAAGCCAAGCCTAGCTTGGGGGTAGTAAGCGTACGTCTCAGTAAGACTCAACGACTCGCTGTCACAGTCGCAGTCACAGTGGCTGTTGCTATCGCTGTCGCTGTCGCTGTCGCAGTCGACGTTAGCCGTTAGCGTTGCCGTCGCAGTCGCGATCGCAATTGCGATCGCTGTTACAAGCTTCACTCAATTTGAGTGGCGCTGTCGATAGCCAGAGCAGCAGCAGCAGCAGCAGCAGCGAGAGTCGCCAAAATGAAACTGTTAATTAATAACCTAAGTAAAGCTGCAAATGCTATGCGGCAGTTGTCTTGATGTTTATTTTCTCAAGCGTGAACTAAACGTGGCTTTTTCATGCGCGGAACAGCAATGATATCTAAAAATCTCTTAAGGCAACACCAAAGTGGAGAAGTTGATTCTCATATGAGATGGATGGCATTTCCCATTTAGCGCTCTCGATGACCTGCCCTCTTGCACTCGAAGTTGCTCTTTGACTTTTTTGACTCCCGTCTGCTTGATATCTTACCTATCTTGTCGCTAGCTTTAATTTTGGTTTATCCCGCAGCAGGGGGAACGCCAAGTTGAGCCTGTGGAGCGATTGAATCATCACTGACCATTGTCCAGTTCACATCCGTCAATTGATCCTAATTGGTATGCCCGCATTGTCCGCCCGAGACGTCGTTTGGAGTTGTTCGCTCATAAATCTACCAGTTCAGTAATTTTCCCCTTTTGTTTTTATTTTTCTTGCCAATCTGTAGACGACAAAGTGAATATTCTACAGTACACTCACTCTCAGAACTTTAATCGTGGCGCAGCCATCAATCACGTAATTGCCAGCGTGTTTGTTGCGCTGTTTGCATCTGTATCTCGCTTTTATATCTTTTCGCACAACAAAAAGCAAAAATCTATTAACTGAAATACATACATGCACACAGAATGTATAAGCAAACAAAAGACGGAATTATTCAAGACGCTTCACAGGCTACTGATTGTGCTCTAATGATGTGTGTAAGAAAGTAAGCATAAAAATAGACATTCATTTTATATATTATATACTATATGACTTGAACATCGGCCCGTTATACAAAAGTGCTAATAACAATAATAAATAAACTGCCAATAATAAAGACCAATGTATCCATGGCAACTCTCTCTTCTCAATCATTTAGCTCTGCATTTGCTGCTCCTAATCCTCCAAGTTATGTCTTTATTTCGTCTTTACTCAACACTAGTTTATGGTTTTATACTCTATCTTCATCTATCCTTTATACTTTATATTCTATCGATTATCCTCTGTGCTCTCCTCTATCCTCTATCATCTATCCTCTATCATCTATCCTCTATATCATCTATATTCCTATTTCCATATCCAATATCCTATATACTATATTTTCTGTCTATCCTCTATTCTCCACCCTCTACCTTTGTCTTTTATTCCCTAATCTCCATTCTCCATCCCTGATGCCCTTCTCTATACATTTATACTCCATAACCATTGTCCACTCTTTTCTCTAGCCATTCTTATTCATATCATATGATATACATCGATCCTTTACGTTTATCGTTTATCAGCGACTTTAACCTGTGGTTAATGTTTAGCATCATCATAAGGAAAACGATTTTAGAGTTCCAGACTATTATTAACGTTGGCCACCACAACGTATAACACTATTCATTACGAATTCAACGTAAGATACACAAACAAATTTAATTCGCATTTTACCTTTGCCTCCAATTAAAGGTATTTGCATGATAAAGTCGAACCATTTGAGTGATAAGTAAAGCCGAAGCACGTGTTGTGCTTCGAATTTAACTAGCTTCATTTCGTATATCCCCATTACCACCCAAGTTGGCTCTTGTGCTAAGCACACTTGCCTATTACCCGTAATTATGATGAATAACATTATTTTTTTCGGCCAGTCATGGTGTCTGTGGAATACCAAGCTGAAGCGGAGCCCAGACAACCGCATGTATAAAACGTAAACAAACAAAATAGAGAATCATATAAAAGTCAATATCGAAATTAGCAACATTTCTCAGAGGTAATTGCTATTGTCGAATTTGATGGCACAAGCATGTGTGTGTGTGCGTGTGTGTGTGTGTGTGTGTGTGAGTAGTGGCAATACATCGATATGGATACTACGAAATGGGAAACGGGATGGTTCAATTGTCTGAAACCCTCGATATGCCATTGGCGTGATTTAACATCGACGCTTCTGTCAAGCTCTCTGATTTATTTTATGACTCAACACATCAGCCGTGCGGCGTACGACTTTAATTCCCTCCATATAAAAATACCTGTCATGATAGAACGCAAAAATTACCCGCACTTGTCCAAAGCGTCCGCACACAAAATCCATTGAAATTCCGGACGAGTTCAGCATGGGCCACAGCTACAAATCGCGTAAACAACTCGACTGCATTTCGTGGCAATGCCATCTTTCACCAGGCGCTCAGAGCCAGGCTAAGCTTCGAAATGCTGTTGTGTATATACATGTATGTGTGTGTGTGTGTGTGTGAGTACTTGTGTGTGAGTACTTGTGTGTGAGCGTATGCGTGCTCCTGGCTGTTTGTGCGTCTATGTGTGTGTGTGTGTGTGTGTGTGTGACAGCCACCAATAAAGCCGCAAATGCGATTTTTCTAAATGCATTCGAGTGTTTTATTTATTGAACTGCTTCGCGTGTGTTGCCTCTGTGCAGGTGCAAATATCTCGATAACTATTCATTTAAGCGCGTAAACAAATATATTTCAAGCTTATTCAAGCGATGGCTGGCAAGATAGTTACCGTTTGACAAATTATAAAACTGGCCCCAAGGCTAATAGAAAAGTACACAAAAATGTATATTATATATATATTATATATTCTTAAAAATAATTTGCAGTAATTATATATTTGCAATGTTACGTATACTTCTCTTAAACTTGCACTTGTTCTTCAATACATGAATATTTGATTATTTTTTGTAGCATTTTAAAAACGCATCACAAATTTCGTGTTTACTTTACAATTTTGAAGCAAAACTGAAAATATTTGCTTATAGATGAAATGAGCAAACATTGTGCTTATACTTGAATGCACAAATTGCTACTTTATTGAATATTTACATTGCATTTTGAAGAAAAACAGATATTCTCTGCACAAATTTAATAGATTGGGTATATTCAAATAAAATGCACTTTTGAAATGTTTATTTACAATGCATTGTATTACAATACGAGTGCAATGAGAACAAAGTAAAAGTTAGCATAGAAAGGGAGTACATAAAGGGAGGCAGCTCTTCTTGATAGAGAATATGGGTATAGCACCGATTTTTAGATCTGCTCATGCTATAGGAAATACTTCTAGGTCTTATAGGTTATGGACAGACAGACGTTGTAAAAGAATATACTACCAGCATCTGCCTATTACATACATATATGCCAATTACATATGTACATATAAAAAATACTATTATACTCAGACTCCCATTATAAATTGGTTCTGGTTAAACATTAACATTGATTTTTATTATTATTAGAACTACTAATTTTATTGCCTATTTCAATCTATTTACTGAAGTGCAACTAATGTATTAATATATTTTAAATCAATCTTGCCCTATGATTTATTACTAGCTATTCGACGAGCAGATTCCCTGAAAAATTGTTTATCTTGAAAAGCACCAGTCCCTTTTTGCTTGCTGTGAAGATCCGCTCATGCTAATGATACATACATACATATGTTTGTATATCATCATGCTTAAACTGTTAAGTTTGTAGCTTGGACTGGTGGGTGAAAACACTGGAATACAGGGTTTGGTTCACTCACCACTTATCTTGTACTAAAATAGATTATAGATTCGATCAAACATACACCTCCACAAAACCATTAAATTCCGATTAGTTTTCAATAAATCCACGGTATATAAAGGAATCGTCAGCATAACGTAATTAGCTATCCACATTGTCCGGTGTTTTTTCATATATTACTGTAAAAGACATGCATACAATTTTTTGGAGGTGTTTACTTTTTTCAAGTGTGCTGCTGACGTTATACATCAATTATAATGTAAATCGAATAAGTATGTTTAACTATAACTAAATACACATTCTAGACTTTCCAGTATGGTGCCTCTATTAAAATGACAAATGCAGTCTGCAATTCCTATAACAAATCCTGGGTTGTCATAACTCAATGCCGATTGAAGGCCCTGCAACGGGACAAAACGATCCTCAATGTTGATATGGATTTTCTTCATCCGGTTAATGACATCGACGTGCGCATTCAAATTTTAAGAAAGGCAAACGGTTACAAGCCTTGGCTTTTCGATATTACATTTGATGCATGCAAGTATATGCGGAGGCCCAATAATCCCGCTATTAAAGCAATTTTCGGAGTGTTCAAAGAGTATACGACAATCAATCATACATGTCCATATTATGTAAGTAAATACAAAGTATTTATAGTGTTTAGTTTAATGCTCGCTTTCTTTTTTTTTTCATCAGGGTCATCAGGGAATATCAAAATTTTATCCAAAAATCGATAACTTTCCCATCCCATTTCCAACTGGCGACTATTTATTTATTTTCAGCTTTGACTTTATAAAACAACGAACTTTTGATGTTAATGTTTATTTTTCATATGTTGAAGACATTTTATAAATATTTCAATACATTAATAAAAAGCCCAAATTAAGCATATAAATGGTAATGTTTTTAATTATTTATAATTTTCTGCTTGTATATCGTGAACCCATTGAGATGGGAAATCTGGGTATAGGCATGGCAAATCTGGGAATAGACATAATAGGCATAAGGCGGTATACAAAAATAAATATGACCTAACTAAAATTCTATAAATTTTCAAATATATATAAATGTTTAAAAAAAACCCTGGATTAATAGTATATTTATTTTTTGTATACCGCCTTATGCCTATTATGTCTATTCCCATATATATATATATATAAATAATATATATATATATAAATAGTAATAATCTTTATTCTGCCTTATAAATGTAAGCATTGAGATGCAAGTGTGCTTATGAATAGAAAAGTTGATCTCAAGAACGAATTTATACAAAAATTATCTTTAATATTACCTACCAACGAAATAAAAGAAAATCTATATTATTATTGCATTTGGTGATCATATCTCCGATGATTACCAAATTGAATTGCATACTCATTAGCATCGTAATTATATCTTTATATTCAGCCTACTGAAGCATAACATGAGAAAATAATTACATTGAAAAGAGTAAACAAAAGTATATATGTATTTTTATCTATATGTATTTACCTACTTTTATATACACTTTCTATAATTTGATTGTTCTGTATCTCCGACTAAACTCCTGTTTTGTTTATTTTTCAAATTCTGTATAGCTGAAGCTACCGCATTCGCATTCACTGCTGACTAAAGGGTCTATTCTATTTTATCTATTACGATCTTAATTATTTGTTTCGAAACAGCATTATACCTCATTAGCAATGAGCTCGCAGTATAAAAATGAAAGTTATTGAAGGCGTTATAATTAGAGTGTGATTAGCTACCTACATATTCCTGTCGTTATTCAAATCATGTTTAGAATTTATTGGAATTGTTTGCTCTCTTCAATTGTGCTACTTATGTTAAACAACAATTTTAATGTAATAACATTAACTATGTTAAGCCACAGCCAACTAAATATGCATTCATATTTTTCCAGCATAGTGCTTCCATTAAATTGACAAATGCAGTCTGCACTTCTTATAACAAGTCCTGGGTTCTTATAAATCAGTGCAGATTGAAGGCCGTGCAACGGAACAGAACCATTTTAAACATTGATGTGGATCTCTTTCATCCGGTAAATAATGCCGAAGTTAGAGTGCAAATCCAGAAGAAAGGAAACGGTTACAAACCTTGGCTTATCGATATTTCATTTGATGCCTGTAAATATTTAAGAAAACCCAATAATCCCGCTATTAAAATGATCCATGGAGTTTTTAAAGAGTTTTCAACAATTAATCATACGTGTCCATACCATGTAAGTAAGATAAATCTATAGTGGTTTGATTGATTTAAATTTTGTTATTATTTCATTATATTACCAGGGTCATCAACGTCTAAAGGATTTTTATCCTATCATCGAGAAACTTCCTAACCAATTTCCGACTGGAGACTATTTACTAATTATAACATTTATATTTTCAAAGCAGCCAACCGCTGAGTTAAAAATATATTTTTCATTTATTGAAGACTTAATATAAATAATTTAGTTATTATTATAGTTATATATAAATTTTAGCTGGTCTCTATAGCAAACAGATATGATATAACATTATTGTTTTTTAATGCGTAATTAAATTTGACATTTAAGGTGTGTATTTTTTCACATACTCTATTTTCATATATTCTATATTATTTGAATATTTTACAAACTTTTTTATCTTGCTGATAGAATAGTTGTAGATATGATGACTCAATGAGTGATTGAACAATTCGTAAATATATTTTAGTTCAACTTGTCCATATATCGTATATACCACGGAGATCTGGAATGATTTTAATGCTGACCTTTTCATTTTAATCAACAGAGATGCCAAGCAGTAAAGTCTTTCGTCGGAAAAGCTTCAAGTCTCTGAGATCGTTTTCAACCTGTTTTATAATTATTTTTTTAATCAATCAACAAACTGTTAATAAAGTTGCTTACGCATATTCCAAGATGCGTTGATTATTGATCTCACCTTTGGTTATTATCCAAATTAAGCTCACCTAATTTATTCCTGCATACGGCAGGAAGCAGCCCAAGTGCCCTGCCATAATACTTAGTAAATTTATATATAATTACATTATATTTTTTATTGTTATTGTAGTTTCAATTTGCTATCCCTATTACTTAAAACCTCTGGTCAAATTAAATGATATGAATAATCGAAAAATAAGTAGAAAATAATGAACATTTAATATTTCATTGCCCATTGGGGCGCATCTAATGAACTTTTATTTTATATAAAATTCAATAAATAAGAGTAAGTTGACTGTCAGACATGTTTCAACTGAAGCAAACGGGAACCATGAAATCAAAAGTGATACATAAATCCATCAGATACTGTTTGCTACTATCTTATCTACTGCTGATGTTACACACAAGCGTAAATGTAATTAAATCGATGGGACAAAATATGAAAATAAGGATTTCAAATAAATATATCATTGCAGGATGGCATTGTCTTTAAAATGACCAATGTGATTTGTAAGTCGTACAACAAGTCGTGGGTGACTATCAACCGTTGTCGACTGAAGGCCGTGCAACGAAACATCACTACCTTCAACCTTAACCTGGACTTGCTGCATCCTCTTAAAGATATCCAAATGAGAGTGCAAGTCCAGAAGAAGGGGAACGGTTACAAGCCCTGGCTTTTCGATTTTCATATTGATGCCTGCAGGTACTTCCAAAGGCCAAACAATCCAGCTTTCAAACTGATTTACGGAATCTTTAAGGACTCGACAAATTTCAATCACACATGTCCATATACTGTAAGTATATCTGTACAAGTTATATTTAACTAAACCTTATTTTATTTGTATAACAATAGGGACGGATATTATTAAAAGATTTTTATCCACGCATCGAAAAATTGCGGGTTCCCCTCCCAACAGGCGATTATTTACTAAATCTAACATTTTTTTTCACAAAACAACAGAACCTTGATGTAAGTGTTTTCTTTACTTTTGTCGAAGATTAAGTTTGCATTTGTTAAGTTATATAATGATATATAAAAGTCAGAATAAAAATAATAAAAATCACAGAATAATGGTTTATATCATAATATGATATAATATGTGACGCTCCAGTGAGTCATAAATAAAGTACGTACAGAGTATTTAAAACTCTTTATTTTGCATAATAACTTTTTCCATTAAATAACCATTTTTGACTTTTCAAAAAAATTATTATTATTATTAAAAAAAAAATTTATATGTACGTACCACCTAATAAAATGTCAATTTGAAATAGTGCGCGTAAGTTGAAAAGTGCAGTTCGATTATTCCCAATAATTGGTCGATAACAGTGCGCAGTAATCGAGGAGCAAGAGTGAGCGAGCTGGTTCTTTTATGAACTAACTCTATTGATTACTAAAACAAAAAGAATTTGGCAATAGCATTTTGGGTTATTGCAAAGCTGCTAAGGTATTTTGCCATTATCATTGTAGGCAACAAGCATGGATGTGATTAATAAATTCTACTCGTCCGCCGTGCAAACCGTTTCGCAGCTTTCAGGCGTGTTGCCTGGAAATAATGTAACACGGGAATATGAAGTGTTGGATCAGATATGCACAGCGGGTGTGGGTGAGATGCATAAAAATTCGCTAACATATGCGCATTCAGTCAACCAGTTAACAATGTTTTTATTGCTCAGGACTGATGTGGAAGGTTTACAGTGGCCACAAGAAAAGCACCAAGCAAGAAGTCTCTGTATTTGTTTTTGAGAAAAAAGTACTGGATCGCTGGTCCAAAGACGACCGAGAGACAATGCTCGAGACGTTGCGCCGGGGCGTCCAGCAACTAACGAAAATTCGACATCCACATGTGCTCACCGTTCAGCATCCTTTGGAGGAGAGTCGGGACTCATTGGCCTTTGCCACAGAACCTGTGTTTGCATCCCTCGCCAATGTAGTTGGTGACTCAGTGCGCTCGGACAAAAAACTCTATGATGTAGAGATACGACACGGTCTGCTTCAACTATTTGATGGCCTGCAATTTCTGCACAACGATGCTAAGATTGTGCATCGCAATATCAGCGCCGAAACGATTGTGATCAACAAGAACCGTAGCTGGAAGCTGTTTGGATTTGATTTCTGCATAGCCAATCAGCCAGCATCAAATGGTACACCTCACTGGCCGTGCAGGGAGTATAGCACGTCGCTTCATGTACTGGCGCAACCCAGCTTAGAGTATACAGCACCAGAGTTGGCATTGAACAGTGTCAACACGCCGGACAGTGACCTGTTCTCATTGGGTAAGCGCACTTTTATATGAAACATAAATTTCGATCTGTAAACAATTACATTTTAGGTGTGCTAATATTCACTATTCACTCGGGCAAGCCACTAAAAATGTTTGGAAGCGATTACAGTAGCTTTCGGCGGTACGCCAATGAGCTGAATCAGCGAAAGTACCCGCCAATGAATACTATACCAAGTGAACTAACCGAGAGCGTGAAAGCGCTGCTGCATCCCAGCGCAAATTTGCGACCAAAGCTGCATGAGCTTAAAACGATTACGTACTTTCAGGACGTCGGTGTGAAGACTTTAAGCTATTTGGATTCCCTTTATCAGTGGGACAATCTTCAGAAATCGAAGTTCTACAAAGGTTTGCCGCAGATAATACCAACTCTGCCACATCGTGTAAACTTGCACTCGATATTACCCTACCTGATAAAGGAGTTCGTCAACTCGCCCATGATACCATTCGTTCTGCCGAATGTTCTGCTTATCGCCGAAATGAGCAGCCAGCGGGAATATTGTGATCACATATTACCACATCTGAAGCCGATTTTCAAGCTAACGGATCCCATACAGATTCTTTTGATATTCATGCAAAAAATGGATTTACTGCTCAAGCTAACGCCGGCGGAGGAGGTAAAGCAGAGTGTGCTGCCACTGCTGTATCGGTCTCTGGAATGTGACATGCCACAAATACAGGAGCTCTGTTTGGGCGTATTACCTACCTTTTCCACTCTCATTGATTACAATGCCATGAAAAATTCCGTCATTCCGCGTATCAAAAAACTTTGTCTACTCAGCAACAATGTTTCAGTTAAGGTTAACTGTCTTATATCAATTGGAAAACTCTTAGAGAATTTGGACAAGTGGCTAGTTCTCGACGAGATTCTGCCCTTTTTGCAGCAAATACAAAGCCGCGAGCCTGCAATTATAATGGCTATAATAGGTAAGCCGATATACTTAATGATATTACTTCTATAAGTGTGAATTTTAATAATCTCCCTTTTGCAGGTATTTATAAAATCGCCATGACGAACACGAAGCTGGGCATTACTAAGGACGTAATGGCGCACAAATGCATACCTTTTCTTGTGCCACTGAGCGTGGAGAACGGACTGACCATAGCGCAATTCAATACGATTGTAGCACTAATCAAGGAAATGCTAGGAAGAGTGGAGCAAGAGCAGCGTGAAAAGCTGCAGCAATTAGCTACAATACAGAGAGATAACAAGTATGCATAAAATACCAGATCATTTCAATATAATACAAATATGGCTATTTAAAATAGACCGAAGGATGCAGCCGAGATACTGGCCAACGAAATGGACAACATCACGCTATCGCCTGCCGGCAGTAATGGCAATAAGAGCGATGATGATATGTTCTCCGGCTTCAGCGTGGGTCAATCATCGCATACAGCAACGCCAAAGCCCACAGCTCCGGCACTGGCCCCGGTTAAGACTAGGGAACAGCTCAAGTAGATAATGATTCCATTAACGCTAATTTCTATGAAAATTAATTTAACATATGTGTTTTTTAGAATATCGCACAATACGACGTCAGAGGCAGCACCAAAAACGGATATGTTCTCCTTGATGCAAAGCAACATAAGCAGTCTGAGCACAGTCCAGAGTCCGCCCGCAGCAACAGCAGCAGCGAATCCCTCTCAGCTCGCAATGCCCTACAGTGCTAGCGGTGGCAATAGCAACAATTGGCACAGCGCGAATCCGTTGGTCATGAATCACCAACTAGCCTCACCGCAGGCTAGCAGCAACAACAATTTCTCTTCGTTGGACGACTTGGATCCGTTTGGGTCCGGCGGTGGCGGCAGCCAGATTACCAAACCGAACAATGCAAATAGTGCCAATATGTATACGTTGCAGCAGCCCACTGTCAACTATATCTACCCGACGGGCTACAATTCGATGAACAGTATGCAATCTAACCTCGGTCTTAGCAAGCCCATGAATCTGGGCACAACTGGCACAGCAACGTCTGCGCCCACATTGATGCCACAGATGACTCAGTCTGCGGATAGCAAAAATCTGAACACCTTGTCCCAACAGGACATACTCAATTTCTTGAACTAGACACATCACAATAGCTGCATGCAGCCGAATAGCCAAAATGTTTTAAATAATCATTCCATACTATATATCCAGATATAAACATCTATTATGTATTCTAAATTATAAATGAGTGTATGTACAATTGTGTGTATGTGTTGTGTGTGTGAACTAATATTTTTAAGATGTTTTGAAGTTTTTTCTTGACAAATATCAATCGAAAATGTGAACGTGCATAATTTATTGTTAGTCTAGGCAAACAGTCAAACCTATTAAATATAGATTACATTTAGATGTGTATTGTGCAATTTGCTCCTTAGTGTAACTCATCGTACACAAATTAGTTAAAATATATACAAATAATCAATTAAAAATACCAACGTGGACTTTATTATTATTTATTTGTATACTATGTATATATACTAGTTTACTTTACAACAAGAAAATTAATATAGTACCTTTAACAAAGCGCCTTAAACATGTAATTGCCATTTGCTGGGGTGACAGAGATTCGCCTACGCCTATAAAACCTAAGTTACATTTGGGCCAACCCAGTAGCCAAGTATTTACGATCGATTGATGAAGAGCTATGTCTCGACTAGGATAAGCGTAAAGAGGCTGTGCATTTTGCGTTCTACTTCCTTATAAACCAACGAATTGAGACCATCGGTATGCATACGCAGTGAGGCAGATCGGAGCAGTGCCATCCGATTTTTATTTGGTGTTTCTTGTTTGTGTTTGAGCATTGTATATTCGCTGTACGCCGGAGCAAACCGACAAATTTCTATACTGAGTACATGCAGGCGCTCATACAGATCATCATCCTCACCTCCCCAACCATGATACAAATTGGACATGCCGTTTATCATTTTGAACTGGGAAGTGCTTATGGCGACGACGCCGCCAAAGAGCGTGCGATAAGGTAAGTGAAAGCGCCAGTTATCCAGAGCTGAGCTCATATGCCTGGGGAGAGTTGTGCATGCGTAGAGCTGACCGGAGTTGAGTGGCATCAGATCGACATCGTGCAGTATTAAGCAGGGATAACCATAGCTGCTCGCTACTTTGGCGCCTATATTAAAGAGCATGGCCCGGTTAAAGGGTTTGCGATCACTTTGCTCCACAACAAAAATCCGATAATGGATTTGCTGAAGACGCAGATAATTGTGCATGTAGTTGAGGAAGGCAGCCAGCTGCTCCTGCCGATCCCGATACGGCACAATTATAGCAGTGCTGTATCGAGCGCGGCATTCTTCTGGCTGATATTCCCCGCCCAATCGGATTTCTTCACCGCGAAGAATTTTCTCCCTATGGAATGCATCGTAGACGAATTTGCTGTCGGCTATCGTCTCCTTGTAGCTGCAATCGATCGCCTGTTGAGATGAGATATTAGGCGTGGTAATTGCGAGCAACGCCTCCTCCATTCGCTCTTTCTTGATGTAGTCATAGTTCAGGGCAAATCGATGAGGCAGTAGAATGTAGATGAGAATGGTTAAGGCGGCACTGAATATTAGAAAGTCAAATATATGAAAATTGTGCTGGCACAGACGTATAATCATTATTCACTATTATAATTTTGACGGTAATGGAACCTTATGGCTCATAGCTAAAGTTTAAGAAAAATTTTGATCACAACACAGGATTACTGAGAAATAAAATATAATCTGCATAACATAACATGCAATTGATGCTGTTAATAACATTTCGATAGCTTAAAATTACAGTTCACTTTTGAATTTACACAGCCTTAGCTGCAAGGGCTATGCTACAAAGAACAGTGTTAAAGTGCATTTGAAAACTAAATCTGATCAAATAAAGTGCTACTTCCATAAGAAAATAAAAACATCACTATAATAAGTTTATTAATCAACATTTAGCATGTCATATCTCAGCTGCTTTTATCCACGAACTATTGTGCATGACTGCAATGTTGATTTGGTATTTTTTCTCATTTTCCAGCACTATTTTTTTTTAAATATCTGTATTTATTTGTTTATATTGCGCAAATCAAACTTTAAAAAACTTGTTTTGTAAATATATTCGAGATAGTTAAATTTAGTACAGTCAAATGAAAAACTACAAATAGGTCTGAGCTTAAAATCGCAGCATATTACAATATCTTAAATATGTTCACATATGTATATTTAATAACGCTGCAGTTGATAAGATATACACAATCAGCTTGTGACAGTAATTCATCGTAGATAAAGCTGTTTAAACTTATCCCTATTTGCCTAACAGATATCAAGAAAATGTTCAACGTATATACTTATTCTGTTTACCTAGCAGTATGCTGCGCTTACTTCTTTGGATTGCACGCTGAGGAAGAGCATTATTCAGTGCGACGTCAGTAAAATATATTTTGATATGAACGATTTCTTAAATTATCTCCATAATAGTTAAGAACTGTACATCGCAACAAGAGTGCCCTGATCATTCCATATGTACAAAGGTTGAAGGCAAATTCCAATGCATCTGCTGGCAGGGATACCATCAGAATCCGGACTGGTCCGCAGGCTACTTCGACATCAGCGACTCGGATTACTGCACGAGCGAACCGTCAAATAAAACTGTTATCGTTCACAATCGCCTACCAGCTAAGAACGAAAATCTGGCAGTCGTCATTCTATTGGTGTTATTTGCAGTCATCGTTGTTATTGTGGTAGTGTATTGCTTAGTTGTACTTCGTCCAATTAGTCGCACTATAACTGTTTACCGTCGGCTAAAATTGAAGCGCTCAAACCATAATCGGCTCGAGGAGTTTTACGATATTGACATGACATTTCGCGATACGCATGCAAAAGCGGAATGTGCCTGAAAACAGAGAATGTTCGACTTGAAAAACTGCAGCTGTAAACTATTACTTTAGTTTATAATACACAAAAGCTATAAACAAAAACAAAGTTTTATATTTATTTATTGTGTGCCACTGCTAAGGGGCATTACTGACCAGTGGCGGTTCTCTGGTCAGTGGTGGTATTAAATATTTAATCGTAAATATAATTTTGGTATTTTTAATAATGCACGATAAAAATACTAATATCGATGAGTCTACGGCGATGACGGTATTAAATATCGAACGCAAGGAACCGGCTGGTGTACCATTCATTATTTTTTACCACAAATGCGTTAGTTTATAAAATTAAATAGCATTAGTTAGCAAAATGACATCAATTATTAAGCTGCACACCATATCGGGTGCCATGGATGAATCGCCGCCCTGCTACATTCTACAAATAGACGATGTACGAATATTGCTCGACTGCGGTTGGGACGAAAAATTTGATCCGAATTTTATAAAGGAATTAAAAAGGTAAAAAGTAAATATCTATAACTATTAAAGTCTAACGATTGTTATCCTAGGCAAGTGCATACACTGGACGCTGTACTGCTCTCCCATCCGGATGTGTATCACCTGGGCGCACTGCCATATCTTGTTGGCAAGTTGGGCCTTAACTGTCCCATTTATGCGACGATTCCTGTCTTCAAAATGGGGCAGATGTTCATGTATGACTTGTATATGTCGCATTTCAATATGTACGACTTCGATCTGTTTTCATTGGACGATGTGGACACAGCCTTCGAAAAGATCACACAACTGAAGTACAACCAAACGGTCTCACTGAAAGGCAAGGGCTATGGCATTTCTATAACACCGCTCAGCGCAGGACACATGATTGGAGGAACGGTTTGGAAGATAGTTAAAGTTGGCGAGGAGGATATCATCTATGCCGTTGATTTCAATCACAAGAAAGAGCGGCATCTCTCTGGGTGTGAGCTAGACAGACTGCAAAGGCCATCGCTACTCATTACCGATGCATACAACGCACAATACCAACAGGCGAGACGCCGAGCACGCGATGAGAAATTGATGACCAACATTTTGCAGACAGTACGCAATAATGGAAATGTACTCATTGCTGTGGACACTGCGGGTCGTGTGCTAGAACTCGCACACATGCTGGACCAACTGTGGAAGAATAAGGAGTCCGGATTAATGGCATATTCCTTAGCACTGCTCAACAATGTGAGCTACAACGTCATTGAATTCGCCAAGTCGCAAATTGAATGGATGAGCGATAAGCTGACGAAAGCTTTTGAGGGCGCGCGCAACAATCCGTTTCAGTTCAAGCACATCAATCTGTGTCACACTCTAGCCGACATCTATAAGCTGCCCGCGGGTCCCAAAGTGGTGCTGGCCAGCACACCCGATATGGAGAGTGGGTTCACCCGCGACCTATTCGTGCAATGGGCCGGCAATCCAAACAATAGCATTATTTTCACAACACGAACCGGTCCCGGATCACTCAGCATGGATTTAGTGGAAAATTATTCGCCTGGCCGACAGATTGAACTGGACTTGCGGCGTCGCGTTGAGCTTGAGGGCGCTGAACTGGAGGAATATCTGCGAACGCAGGGCGAAAAGCTCAATCCACTTATTGTAAAGCCAGAAGTAGAGGAGGAAAGCAGCTCAGAGTCTGAGGATGACATTGAAATGAGCGTGATTACAGGCAAACATGACATTGTGGTGCGGTCCGAAGGGCGTCATCATTCCGGTTTCTTCAAGTCCAACAAACGTCATCATGTGATGTTTCCTTACCACGAAGAGAAGATCAAGTACGACGATTATGGAGAAGTCATTAATTTGGATGACTATCGCATCGTAGACTCTAGCTATGACTATGCGCCCACAGACGATCAAAACAAGGAGAATATCAAAAAGGAGGAGCCACACGTCGAACCGCAGTCCAATGGCAATCTAAACAACGATGTTCAATTGCTTGAGAAGCCCACTAAATTGATCAGTCAACGCAAAACCATCGAGGTCAATGCTCAAATACAGCGCATTGATTTTGAGGGACGATCGGATGGCGAATCTATGCTCAAGATTCTCTCACAGTTGCGCCCACGACGCGTTATTGTGGTGCATGGCACAGCGGAGGGCACTCAAATAGTGGCCAAGCACTGTGAGCAAAATGTGGGTGCCCGCGTCTTTACTCCCCAGAAGGGAGAAATAATCGACGTAACAACGGAGATTCACATATATCAGGTGCGCCTAACAGAAGGTCTCGTCTCCCAGCTACAGTTCCAGAAGGGCAAAGATGCTGAGGTGGCCTGGGTTGATGGGCGACTCGGTATGCGCCTACAGGCCATCGACGCACCAACTCAATCGGAAGTCACCGTGGAGCAAGATGTGGCGGCGCTAGAGGGCAAAACGCTAACGTTAGAGATGCTCGAAGAAGACGAAATTCCCGTTCACAATTCGGTGTTGATCAACGAACTGAAACTGTCGGACTTCAAGCAGGTGCTAATGCGCAACAACATCAACTCGGAATTCTCCGGTGGCGTCCTCTGGTGCTGCAATGGCACGCTGGCGCTGCGGCGTGTCGACGTTGGCAAAGTGGCCATGGAGGGCTGCCTCTCCGAGGATTACTACAAGATACGTGAACTACTTTATGAACAGTACGCCATTGTGTAGCGAATAAACAATGATAATTTCCAGCTGTCGGTCTTTACATATTTTATATTATTTCGTATTCTATTGTCTAGAGAAATTGAAGCATGGGATCATCAGTGCGCGTGCGTTTCCTCTTCCATTCTTCAATTTCCTCCTCGGTGGGCGCCTTAACATCGTACATGCTGTTATATGGGCGCTTCCTATCGTCAACCTCTTCGGATATTTCCTTGGATTTTGATTTGGATGCAATCGCCTCTTTTTCTTTCATTTCCTTGTGTTTCTTTTTGTTTTTCCGCTGCTCCTTGGCCTTCTTTTTCTTTTCGCGTTTCTTTGACTTTTTCTTAGACTTTTTGGATTCCTTTACCTCCTCTTCGGACTCGGAGGACTCTTCTGTACTCTGCGCAGAGTCAACTTCGGACTCAGCTGCTTGATTCCCAACATCCTCTTCTGTCGGTATTTGTGGAGCAGCATCTGCAATCGGAGCTGCAACGGTTGCCGCACCCGATGTTGTGGTATGCTGCTGCTCTGAATAGCCTTCCGGCTCTTGCATACCCACACAGTAAGAGTTCTTAATGAAGGATTTACAGCATTTATATCCCCAACGGCCGGCATTCCAATAGCTGCCCCATATAGTCGTATGATTGTTAATGTACACATCCTCCTCGTATATGCTGCGGGCTTTGGGCTTCTCAATGCCTTTTATAACCTTGCCACTACGCGAATACTCTACGTATTCCTCGGTCTGGGCGAGTAGCAACGATTTTGGCGGCGCCTGCAAATGCTCTTCGCCTCCGTATTTTTCCACAATGTCCGTTTTGGTCTGCAAGGGTAACAGTGTTAGACTTTATTTATAGGGATTTGGTTATATTTAACCTACACTTGACTTGAACTGTTCCTTTTTCTGCTCGTATTCCTTTTGCAGCAACTCCAGCTTTGTGGGCTCGGCAAGTAAATGTACATCAACACCTTTGCCATGCGCCTCCCAAGCAAACAATTGGGCAGTGGCCTGCGCTGTGGTGTCGCCAGAGAAACGCACGAAATTCTCTCCTGCGAATTCCGCTCTATGCATCAAATATACTCATTAGTTCTTTATCACATTGAAAAAGCAATAACCAATTCACTTACTCCTCAGCAGGTATTGCTGGATTGGGATTATCGCGCATGGAGCGTGTCTTGGGATCATAGTAAGCTGAATTTGGGTCCAAATTACGCAGATATTTTGCAGTATCCTCCCGGATACGCAAATTACGCACTGTAATACGCTGCTTAGAGTCGACTTTTGTGCCCGGCATGTCCACCTCATCAACGTATTTGTCTTCATTACCCTCATCACCAGAGATTTCCGCATCAGGATCTGTGAAAAATTAGACATGATTTTAGAAAAGCCTCCAATTTAGTCAAAAGGTTTCTAACCATTCTTTAGCTTTTCTGCCTTTAGCTGTCGTTTAGCTTCCTCTACTTTCTCGTACTCCTCGATGATTTCTCGATGGTTAGCCGGATCATAAGAGCTCCAGCGATCTCGCTTCTCGTCGTAGTTGATCGAGGCATCGTTCACAATATGCTCATCGTGCACCACAATTGATTCTGCGTATTTGGCCTGCACCTTTCGCGGCCTTTCCAAGCAATCTTTCTTCTTATGTGTCATGGCTCCACAATTTTCACAGGCTCCCTTACGAAACTTAGTTACCAGTTTGGACGTATCCAGACCTTTGGGTGCTTTCTTGTCCAATTGTCCACGCTCATCCTCGTGCTGCGGGCGCTGATGTTTCAATGTTGGGCCCTGAGAACCATAGTACCAGGGAGCATTGGAAATGTATTGCGGTATATGGGGATTTATATCACGACCCTCTTCGTCGACAGCGGCTGGTGCTGTACCCGCCTTTCGGGCTTCCTCAAGCTCCTTTGCTTTGCGCCAATCTTCGCGTGACTTTTTCTTGGGCTCGTCATCCGCATCCTGATCATCTTTGTTGTGAATTATTTGGGAGACCGGTGTACGAACAGCGCCCGAACTCATATTGAGCGTGTTGGTAATTATTATTAAACAGTATATTAAGCAATATCAGAAAATATTGTTTTTATGTCTCTGTTACAATGGAACTCAGAGAAACGTACAACGAGAGAGTAAATAAGCTGATTTATCGATAAATGCTCACCAGTTCCAAGAGTGGACGATAACAACTACATGCCATTCGCTATAAACGTTGACACATAAATATCAATAAGCTACCATCGAGTGACTGGCAACACTGACGGCGTCTCATTCGTGTAAAAATTATACTACAGTGCAGACGCGTCTAAATTCTAAAACTACTAAGTTTCAGTCTATTTATTACAATCATTCCACGCATAAACAAATAAACTACGTGCCTTGTGCAATCTTTTATACTGTAACCACAACTGCAAAATCAATTAAATTAAAATGGTAATATTAATAACAAGAATAGTGTTGCGGCCCATCGCAATCTGCTTGGCCAAAGCCGTTTGACATATATTATTGCGCGTGCCTTGCCAATAGTGAGATGAAATATTAATGCTACCACTGAAAGCGTTGTATGAATATTGGCAATCGTCAGTGACATTCGCTATTGGTGTGCAGTGATATTTAAATTATGAACAATTAAATCAGTGTTATTGTGTGGCGGGGCGGCAAAACGTTCAAACTTAACCTCAAAGTTTTACTGTGAAGTCGATTTTGCCGCCACCATTTTGTGTGGCGCATTTCTTATTCTGTTTAGCAGAATGTTCTTTGTGTGCGTGTTATTTGTGTTTTACTAATTCTGTGCGCTATTCTGTTCTTTAGGCTGGAGGCAAAGCGGGCAAAGACTCTGGTAAAGCCAAAGCGAAAGCGGTTTCTCGCTCAGCGCGCGCGGGCCTTCAGGTGAGTTTCTGTTGTTGTCTGTACTAAATACATTTTGGCGCCTTTTTTACCAGCACACATACATACGTGCATACATATATATGCGAACACATTGTAAACAGGGTGCGTTTCTCATGTACCCTATATGCGTGTATTTGTGTTGGTGCGCTGAGAGCTGAGAAATTAATAGCTTGTGCTACTTTGGGGGTAGCAAAACATAAACAAGAGATGAACTTTTCTTCTAATGCCATTTTTATGTTCCATAATACCGAATAGTTTCCCGTTGGTCGTATTCATCGCCATCTAAAGAGCCGCACCACATCTCACGGACGAGTTGGTGCAACCGCTGCCGTGTACTCTGCAGCCATTTTGGAATACCTAACTGCCGAGGTAATATTTTCGCGCCTAATCGATTTGTATTTGTATTTCGTTTTTCCCATTCCTATTAGCATATGTAACGGCACCAGCGTATTGCACCGCATATGTATTGTGAGCAGTGGCAACGGCATTTGTTTACATATGCTAAATTTATATCAGTGTATATATATTGCCCTAACAGTGCAAGGATATCTAAAATTCTAATTGGAACGACTGATTCTGTGAGATCCTTGTTTAATTGATTATTGTTGTTACAGGTACTGGAACTGGCAGGAAATGCATCGAAAGATCTGAAAGTGAAGCGTATCACGCCGCGTCATTTGCAGCTGGCCATTCGTGGAGACGAGGAGCTCGACAGTCTGATTAAAGCAACCATTGCCGGTGGCGGCGTCATTCCGCACATACACAAGTCGCTTATTGGCAAGAAAGAGGACTCCGTGCAGGATCCGCAGCGAAAGGGCAATGTAATTCTGTCGCAAGCCTATTAATGTATACCTTTTGACCATTTCGGAATATAAATAATTCACATCTATGTTTAAAAATAAATTACAATACTAACTGACGCGTTGTAACATTTCTATGCCAAGCTGCAAGGTCCAAGCATAATTTCTAATTTACAACAATTTCAAACTAAATCAACTTCTATCATCAATAGGCAACACAAGTAAACATTTAACATACATACACACACAATCACTTTTACACACGCCTACACACACACACACACACAAACAAATGTAAACTTAAATGTCAAGTAAAATGCAATGTTAAATGAAAATCGAGGTTTAAGCAAATGCAAAACTTAATTTAGAGCAAAGTAAATTACACAAATAAATTTAATGAAACTTTAAATACAAAATAAAAACATCGAAATGCCCAAATTGTTATTGGAACATTTATTAGACAATTATTTGTTAAAATAAACTTTGTGCACAAAATAGTCAAATTATATTATTTAAAATAACTGGGCGTCCATGACACTTGGTACATAGGACATGGCTTCAGAGACACGTTCAACCCAGCAAATGCGGCACTGCTTTCTGTACATCATCACAGCGCTCCTTGAGGTCCTCGGCATCCAGTTCCAGGCAAGCGCCCCACTCGACCAATGTGATGCGATGGTCCTTGTTGGAGTCGCAGGACTCCAGGAATGGTGCGATGCAATGCTCCAGCTTGACCAACGGCGCGCGTATGGGGAACAGCTCGTGGCGGGAGACAGAGCGATCGGTGTCGCCATCCAGATCGCACCACTTCCACACGGCTGCATTGGCCCAACGACGCGAGTTATTCGTCTCGGCCTCCAGCTCCATTTGCATGTAATGGTCGGTCAGCTCATCGCGCTCGGCGAGATCGCGCATCACGTTGAACAGCCAGTCGCGCATGCGACGCGGGAAGTCCTTCAAGTCCTCGCCATCGCACACACGCGGCTCTTGGCAGGCGCCATAGTAGTCGATATGGAGATGAGCATTGTCCGGATGACGGCAGCCGGGATCCTTAGTGTCGCACCAGCAGCGCTGCTGATAGACAGCGCAATCGGATGGCCAGGTCTCGTTCTTGTTGGTGCACACAAGACGACGCGTGTCCAATTCGTCTGGGCAGTCGGGAATGCAGATGCACTCGGGCTTGCCCTCATTCAGCTGACAGATGCGACCAGCGCCGCAGTGCATAGTCTCGCAGGGGTCCACCTCGACCACCGGATTCAATAGATTGTACTGTACATCGGCCAATTTCTGGGCCAACTCATTCTCACGCTCCACATCCTTGTTCTAACAGTAGATAAGAGGTTGACTGTCAAAACTCAATTTATTTCAAGTGAATCGAAACAGTACAGACCTTGGACTTCATCTCCAGCAGCGTCAGATACTCTTCATCATCTTCATCGAACTCGGCTATGTCATCCAAGTCCAAATTGGCGATGGGGTCCTCGGCGCGCACTTGCGACAGCGTCAACGCCAGCAGCCCCAAGCAGAGCAGCAGCCAAACAGAACGCATCTTCCGAC